TTGCTGTCCAGAGGTCACTGTCCATCTGTCCACCTGCCCGTTGCATGGCATCCCTGAGCAGGTTCCTTCTGCATATCCACGTGTGTGGCCCCTGTACGGGCCCCACCGCCATGTGGCCAATGGTGTGAAGACATAGGACTGCAAGGATAGAAGGGGGCCCTGGGCAGCAACCCTGACGCTTGGGGCGCTCTGAGCCCTGTCCCTCCTCTGGTCACAGTCGCTGATGGGTTGTGCCATCCTGGGGCACCCCTGGAGTCTCTAGTACCCCAAATGTGCTTGGTGTGCTGTGGGTAAGAGGTATAGCTACTGCCCCGATCTCTCCCTGACCCCCATGGGGCCTGTCTAGACATCTCAGTACAAGGGACCTCTGCTCATGCCCCTGGGGACAGCGTGAGGACAGAAAGAGCAAGCAAATGTGTGAGCTCATGGGCACGTGTCCAAGTAATGAGTGCATCCGTGGGGCCAGGTCACTGCACAAGGTACCCACGTGGCAGGCGTGGTGGACTGCGGTGGGCACCACCTGTAGGTCGGACCCAGCTAGTGTGTGAGCGCGCGCGCGCGTGTGTGCGTATGGCCCCTCTGCCCAGGCGGGGGTGGCGGCCCTCTCCTTTCGGCCCCGCAGAACACTTAGGCCTCCCTCTTCGCATTCCAGGGCCTTGAGTCAGGGCGGGGGGGCCTGAGTCACTGTGCCTCCTCCCCTGCGGACTTCCACCACTGAGACCTCAGCACGCATGCAGGCCCACCTCACCCTCCGAATTGGGTGCAGGTGGGAGCTGGGGCGAGGCAGGTGGAACCCTTGCTCTGCTGGGCGTCTGGCCTCTTTCCTAGGCTCCTCCGCCCTCGGAGGCCCTGGCTTCTGCTGACGCACAGCACGCGTTCCCGCTGCGGGGTATGAGTCACGCTACAGCAGGGTACATGTGGTCCCCGCTCACCCGAGTCCTGCACAGTCTTGTCCCCGGTTGCTCCGGTATCCGGCTTCCCGGGTTCGAGCACACAGAGCCCCACGCGGACGCGCACGCAGGGCCCGGGTTTCCCAGTCTGTGCGCCCACGGCGCACGTGCGCGCGCACGCATGGAGTCACAGCCGCGCCGCGTCCCCGCCCCCATCCCTGGCTCTGGGCCCGCGCCCCCGCCCCGCGGCCGCCAGGTGTGCAGTGCGGCCCCCGCCCGCCCGGCCGGGAGGGAGGGGCGCTAATTACGCGGCCCCAGGGTCCCCCCCACGCGCCTTTCATCCGGGCGCGCCCGACCATGGCCAGACGCTCATTACGCCTCCCGCCCGGTCATTAGCGGGTCGGGGGGGAGGCCCGGCGTCCGGCAGGTCCGACCCGCGGGGAGGGCGGTGCGGGAGGCGCGGCCCGCCCCGGTTTCCATGGCGACGCCGGGGCGGCTGGACGGGCACCTATGGGCTGGGGAGGGGGTGCTTGGAGCCAGGGGTCGCTGGTAAAGAAGTAGCTGAGCCCGCGGGACCCACCCTGTTCTCCGACCTCATGCGGGTGCCAGCCCTCCTGTGGGCGAGGCCCCCCTGTGTCCACGCGCCTGGGTACCCACTCCTCGCGGGGTACAGGGACCAAAGTCCGTGCAGTGGCTGTCCGGGGCCAGTGGGACTGCAGGCGCAAGGGGAGCCCGTACAACTCCTGAGACAAAGGCCGTCTGGGGCCAGTGGGGACTGGGGGTGCAAGGGCGGCCCAGAGGAGCCTGGACACCGGGCGCGCCAGGCCCGGGCCTGCGTGATAGGCTGGGGGGCAGCGCCACCTCGTGTCCTGCACTTGGCACGCCTCGTCCCTCGTCGCCGCGGTGTATGAGGGTGGAGCCCGCGCCCCCCGACAGCCGCACGACAGCGAGTGACAGCGCACGCAGGCGTGGGTACCGGGGTGCGCAGGCTCCGCGGTAGGGAGCACCACTAACTCCAAGGTTGCAGGGTGAGTGAGTGAATGAATGAATGGAGGAGAGTCACTGGACCTGGCGAGTCACAAAACCAGGACCGGGCCGAGCTGCAGACCCAGAGGACGGTGTGCGGCGGGGCCGGAGGCAGGCCACCTAGTTGGCGCGGGTCAGAAAGGACGACCTGCGTTGCTCTTGCCCCTCTGACGCTGCTGTGCGTGGGCCCCCCCACCTCGGCTGCTGAGGTGCAGTTTCTCACCGTGCCTTTTAATAGCCAGCCTGCGTTGAGGGGCTGACGCAGAAGCTGCTGCTGACGACGAGGAGTTGCACGGGGCGGGGTAGTGAGGTGCAGGGGGCGGCGATGACTCACGCAGCTGCCACCTGGGGGAGGGGACCCAAGCTGATGTTCAAGGGCCCTGGAAGGCTTGTGCATGCCTTTGTCTCCCTGCTGGGAGGGGTCAGTAGCAAAGGGCACTTTTCCCCTGCCCCATGGGGGTCTGCTCCCCGGAGCTGTCTTTGGTGCAGGTGGGTGGGTACTGGAACTGGCTTTGCTCACCCCCCCCCCAGAAGCAGGGGACAGTGGGCCAGAGAAGGCAGCCAGGCAGAGCCAGTGGTCACCATAAAGTAGGACCATAAAGGCCCTGGGTAGTGGCCTTGGGGATGACGATCCTGGCAGAACTGCTTCCCATGATGATAGCTGAGGTCTTGGGAACCCTTAATGTCCCCCCAAAACAGGAGATGTCTCTGGGGAAGACATGAACGGCAGAGGAGCGTCACAGAGGACGCCTCGCCTGGCTCGGGCTCAGGGTTGGGGCGTCAGGTGAGGGTTAGGGTGTGGAAGGCACCGGGAGCAAGGGTGAAATGTGGGGTTCGGAGACTTCGGGCCTTGGGGGCCAACGTGGGAAAGCCTGCGTGTTGGGTAGATCGAGTGGTGTATGAGGCGGTGCGGGGTCCTGGGGAAACTCGGGTCTTTGGTGGGGAGACTGGGGTCTAGGGCGAGGTCGGTCTGCGGACGCCTGCCGGGTGCCCACTAACGAAGCTGGGCTCTGACCAGCCCGAGCCGGGTCCTCTTTGTTCCCGCAGGCGCGGAGAAGTGGGTCAGCTCCGCCCCCACTCTGGCCACGCCCCCCGCGGGCGGAGCTGCGGGCTGCAGGCCGGAAGCGGCCCCGCCAATCACGGGGCGCGGGGCACGCAGGGCGCGAGGGGCGGAGCCTGCGCCGGCCCGGCCCCCCCCTCGTCTCATGAATATGAGTCGCGGCCGCGGAGCGCTCCGCCGCGGATTGGCTAGCGCGGCTTGGCGGGGCGGGCCCGGGGCGGGGCCCGGCGGCGGCGTACTTAAGGCCGGGCTGCGGCGTGCCCCCCCCTCACTCGCGCGTTAGGAGGCTCGGGTCGTGGTTCTGCGCCGTCTTCCCGCCCGCGTCAGGGACCTGCCCGGCTCAGTGGTGAGGGCCCTGGCGGCGGAGTCCGAGGCGTCCCGCCGGGGGCAGGCCAGGCGGGGCCGCGGCGA